GGATTATCTGAAGCGTAGTAGGAGTGAATGTCCAGGAGATTGAGGGGAAGCCAAATGAAGTCATGTGAAGAGCAGTAGCTGGAAATTGGGCTATTTAATCAGAAGTAAAGATTAAAGACCAGGCAAACATTTTCAAATATTTGGGATTTGTCTGAAGCAAAATGGATTAACTTTAATCTATGTAGAGCCAAAGGCCAGGGAAGAGCTTTCTTACAATTGGAACTGTCCAAAAATGAATGAGCTGACTTGCAAGAGTGTAACTAACTGCCTATACCAACAGGTCCAGGATTTGGTAAACACCTCATAAATCAAAGCCAAGATAGAATTCCACGCTTTTTCAGTTAAACTCATTGTGTATACTTTTCTCATTTTGGATCTTAAAATATAACCAGAATAAATTAAAATAACAACCTCATGGCTCTCCATTGGGCATCTTTGTAGACCAGCACAAGTATATGAGCTCAGAGGCCAAATCCCTGGTGTATATCATAAGTTAAAAATAGTCAAAAGTATGCACATATCAAAAATTCCACCTATTCACTTTTTAAACTAATGTGATTATTTGCAATTTAACCTTTCAGGTACCTTCTTGTGTGCATTTACTATATGACGCTATTTTTTTTTTTTTTTTGCTGTACTGGGTATTGAACTCAGGACCTTGTGCTTGCAAGGCAGGCATGTTGCCACTGAGCTAAATCCCTGGCCCATATGATGCTATTTTTAAGTCCTTTCTTATGATAGTTAAACTATAAGGACATCCTAGATAGCAACTAGAAAAGTTAATTTGAGGGCTGGGGATTTAGCTCAGTGGTGCGCCCACCTGCCTCACAAGTGCAAGGTCCTGAGTTCAATCCTCGGTACCCCCCCTCCAAAAAAAGGTAATTTGAAATCTTTTTCTTTGGGTCCTTGGGGAGGTTTCTGTGGTTTTGAGACAAAGAAATATGTTGTTTTATCCAGCACAATTTAAGGTTCACGAAAGGGGCTCATACCAATAAGTGAACCCAAGGAATCTTTAAACTAGTCTTTAGATATTAGGCAAACTATATACAAACGTGAAGAAAGTCTCTTGACTTTAGGTAGATAAGGACAGATAAATGACTATGCTTTATAAATGTTTCAAGTACAAAGAAGTGAACAAAATAGTATAAGAGTACATGTAGAAGGTCAAATTCTAGCTAGAGCAGGCGGGAGGAGTAGTTTAAAGAAAGTAGACAAAATCTGAGCTGGGCATGGTAGCATGTGCTTGTAATTCCAGCATACTAAAAGGGTGAGACAGGAAGATCATAAGTTCAAGTCTAGCCTGCACAACTTAGAGTTAGGAGAGCCCATCTCAAAATAAAATATAAAAAAGATCTGAGGATGAAACTCATTGAAGGCTCTGGATTCAATCCCTAGCCCTTGGGCTGGGAGGGGTTGTGAAAACCTGAGCTAACAAAGTGTTCCCCATTTTACTGCCTGTCAAAACCTATTGGGAGCCTTCAAAAAGTATTAATCCTTGAGCCTCACCTAGAGAGCCTTAGTCAGCATGTCTTTATGCTAGTAGAACACTGCCTTTATAACTATACTTTTACAATTTTGGGGGGGGAGGTACCGGAGATCGAACTTGAGACCTAGTGCTCGTGAGGCAGGCAGCGGAACCACTGAGGTAAATCCCCAGCCCTACTTTCACAATATTTTGATAACTAGCTCTCTTATGATGTTTAATACTTGATTTTTTTTTCTTCTTTTTCAATATTTCCTTGGTTATCTTTATTCAACCTTTTCATTTCATATAATCTTTAGAATCAGTTCATCAATTCCACAAGTAAACCTACTTGGATTTGATTGGTTTTACCTTAAATGTATAGATTAATTTGAAAACCCTAATCACTCACATGCCCTTAATCCCAGCACACACATTCCAGATTCAACTACCTCTGAGAAAGAAAGTCCCACCTCATCTGCATGAGGCTTTGGGGGGGTGCATCCAAACACAAGCATTTTATCTTCTTGTTAATGAGAAGGCAAGTGAAGTTAAAAATAAAACAAAAAAACAGAGGGATGGAATTACCAAATGTCGATGATTTAAATGTTTTTATTGAGTTTGCTTCAACAATTCATTGTTCCTGGAACAGAGGTCCCCCTTGTGATCAGAAAGAATGAAGATTGAGATTCCTCCTCATGGGTACCTATTATTATGGGATACAGCGGTGTAACAGAACGTAGCCACAATATCATGGAAGACGAATGCTCTTCTTTTGTGGTAGCAAAGAACCACATCTAAAAATATCTAAAAACTGGTTGCTGCTAATGGATCAGGAATTGGGGTCTGAATACAACCTTTGCCCACTCAAATGAGGTAGCTTCTGGTTACCTTATTTCTGCAAGAAACCTCCATGTAGCTGGGAGAAGCATGGCCAGTATGAGTGGTCCTCAATTCCCTAGATTTAGGGCCTCTCCTAGGAATATTGATCTTATTTCTTAAGTGCATGGCAGAGGAAAGAGCAGAGACTGTAAAATCAGATTTACTTGAGTTTGAATGTTGACATTGCCACAAATCTGCTAGTATCAGTGTCTTCCTGTGTAAATTATATATAATAGTACCTTGGCGTAGGAGGTTTGAGGTGAAGTGTGTAAAGCGCTAGCCCCAGACCTCCTCTTCCTTAACAGTTGGAGGTGGTGCTGATGATTAATTACTTTAGGAGCTTAGGAGATGGGCTAGTTTATGTAATTAGGATCTTAGCAATTGGGTTGATTCATGGATATGCTAAGAAGCACTGCTCCAAAGCAAATTCAAAAGATTGCTAAACTGTTAGAACCCCTGGGGCCAAGAAGTACATCTAAATATAGACAAGGCATTACTGCAGAGAGATTCTTGTCTCTGTTTTCTCTCTTAGGTCTTGAGCATATAACCCTTGGAATAAATAAGAAGAATTTTCTAAATGGCTTTGCTAAATAGGCCTGAGTCATCCACTAAGGTGAAGTATTTTAGAAACTTTCCATTTTATGTGTATTCCTTTTGGTGTATTCCTGGTCAAATATAAATATGTTGCTTGCTATGTAACTATCACACAGTGTAACCTTTCACTAAGTAACACAAGGCCAACATGTCCAGAAAGATCTTAGAGGAGAGGCTCTGCACAATTGCATCTAGTGATTTCTTTTCACACATTCCTTTGGGTGCTGGAAAGTTTGAAGTGTTAAAGCTCATGAGAGTCACCTCTTGGAATCACTGCAGTCTGTTTTTTCTCCCCAGGCTCTCTGTGTGCACATGTATTAGTTGTGGTTTTACCCATCTGTAAGGTATTGTAAGCTTCCTAATGAAAACAACTGTATTTTCTTTGCTTAATTGCATATTATTGAGTGGTCTGTCTCTCATGCTATAAATGTTTAGTAATGAGAAATGTTCTGTTCATTAGAGAGCTCCAGCATACTAGGCAATGGCAAATCAGGTATTTTATTGATATGAACAGAAAGAAGCACCTAAAAGGTAACAAAAAAATCATTTAAAAAAGCTTACTACATTACACATAGACTATATTATATTAAATAGAAAATAATTTGATGAGATTAATCAATTATACATTTCATAGCAAAAACAGTGAGGTTTTCCTATTTGCAGTGATTTCTCTCCTTCATATTATATCTGGCACCATCTTACTAGCCCTTTGGATTTTAAATTGTTTTGTAGGATAGAACAAATGGTGGTTTGTACTTTTTCTAGAGGTATCATCCACAACTCCCAGATATTGGGGGTGGGGTGATATACAGAATAGACTATACAGAGTCTGCATTTGAGTGGGTATAGTTTTAGGTGCTCATCTTTTAGATGTGGAAAACAGAACTCTTCTCTCTCACCCCTTTTCTCTCCTTCTCTCTCCCTTTGGGTTGAATCCTGGTCCTTGCAAATATCAGTCAAGCACTCTGCAGTGAACACCACTTCCAACCCCTAGAACTCTTACCAAGTGGGAAACAAGTATCATAATCAGTGCTCCTAACATTTATTGCTCACAGCTTCTTCTCTTCAATTTTCCTGTAATTTCAGGGGATATTGATCTGGGTTTAGCCACAGGATAACCAAGCTCATGATTAAATGGGTGGGCATTAGTATTACATTTTCCTAATAGCTTGAGGTAAGACTGAATTATGACCAGAGCACGAAAAGGCCAGAAAAAGGCATCTTCTCCCTGGCTGGAAAGTCTCTGGCAGTTCTATGGGTCTGAGGGGGAGAATGTAGCTTTGGAAATTGGCAGCCAACTCTTGCCTCAAAAAGCAAAGAAGTTGAAAACAATATTGTACGGTGTTCTAAAAAGAAGTTGAAAACAATATTGTAGGGTATTCTAAAAAGTTATCCAAAGGAAGCTTAATGAAAATATTTTAAAGCAATTTATTTGCTCTATATTAACACAATGTGATTTTATATTGGTTTTTAAACTATTTTTATATCAAAAAGTGTTAATTTCCTAATTCCTTAAATTTTTAAGTTCTCAAAATATATTCTCCTTTGATACACTTGGACAGGATTTGAGTTAAATTACAAAAGAGTCACTTTCTATATGTATTGTAACAATTCTGTTTACATAGATATATCATATTTGTATTAATATGATTGTCTGTACCCAACCAGCTTCTAAACAAGAGCCTGAGATGTATAACAAATTAATAGATGTATTAATCTCTGTGTGTTATGAACAGGGGTTCTTAAAAATTATGTATGTGTATTTTTGTTTGTTTGGCACATGATCCCTCTTGTAATTTCCTTGAGACAAGCACACACCCATGCCTTATAGTGCTACTCTTTTGATTCAAATTCATTTATCAGTCCTAATAAGCAAAGCCCAAAACATGCCCCTTCCTACATACTGTATCTTTCCCTTTGCTGGTGGTCACCAGATATGTGAACCAAATGCATGTACATTATGTCCAGATAACACCTTGGATCAAATCAGCATGTTTTTAAGGGATTCAGAAAACCTGAAACCATGGCAATTTGAGAATAAACACAGAGAACAGACTCTTACCTTCCGGTACCCCCAGAGCTGGTTCCCCTTCATGCCATGGCAGTCGTAGAGTGTAACAGGGCTGTTGTGTGATATAGCATCAAAGCAGAACTTTCGGGTATGCAGTGGCTCACCAGGTCGAATATCTTCTCTCCATCCAAAGGTAAAGAGCTAGCAAAGCAATGGCAGCAGAGAAGCTGCAGTGAGTGTAACTGGGAAAGAAGACTCTGAGCAGGGGGAGATATGGTTTCTAGCAAGGTAGAACTTCTTTGTGATTTACAACAAAGAACTATGTCTTGGTGTAATAGAGGTATTGGAAAAGTGCTGTATAAAGTGCTGTAGCAGCAACAACTTTGGCCCAGGTTGCTAAAAATGCAAATAAGGACTTTTCAGTTTAGATATCAAGAAGAAAAAGAAAACCTAGGGGGCAGCATAGGGAGAGGAGGAGGGGGGGGGGAGAGGAGGAGGAGGAAAGAAGAGTAGAACAGAGAAAGTCTTTAATGAAGCTCTACATTTGCGAGATCTTGTCTCAAAAAATGGCTAGGATGTAGCTCTGCGTGAAGTCCCTAGGTTTAGTACCCTGTTCTGCAAGAAAAAAAAAATTATGATGAGCTAAATTCATTTTGCCATGTAGTAAATTAACAAAATACAGTTGTGTAGGGGAAAGGCATTTTTTTGAGTATTTGAGCTGAACCACATTTGAGAGGTACAGTAGGAGGAATCTTTAATTAAGGGGGAAAATAGACTAGATGTGCCCTACGATTTCTTCCACTGCTAAAATTTCAGTAAGGTTACATAATTCTTACAACAGGACTTAAGGCAGACTGGCTATGAGACGCCAAGCTGTGAGCTGCAAAATAAAGAGCTGTCAGGGAAACCCTGCTGATATAAAGATAAGAACAATGCTCAGCTGTATTTGGATAATATACTTAGCACTGACCAAACCCTCCGTATACTCCAGGTTTTGGGTCCTACTCTGGAAAGAATGTATGGAGAATCTGGCACTATTCCAGGGATGGCCAACAAAAACTGTTAAGTGGTGGGGAATTGGAAGAAAAATTGAATGAACTGGGTTAAGTGATCTGAAGAAAATAAGATAGACATGATCAAAAGCAAACATATGAAAGGAGATTGTCTGAACGATGGTGAACCACTGTATTCTGTTTCTCAGGGAGATGGGACAAAAGAGAATGTTCCAAACAGAAAGAAAAGGGATTTCAGGTTAGGCATTTGAAAGATTCATGAAGAGGAATTGTGTGGCCTTTTTTCCTACATGTTTTTCTTCTTCTTCTTTTCATATGGTTGTGGACTGAGACATTTTTAGATTCATTTAAATTCTATGCAGGGGAATGACTGCTCAAGGAAGTGTCTGTTCGGCTATTTTTTGATCACTCTCTTCTCATCAGACATGCTACTCTCATGGCTTTTGAAATACGGGGCTCCTCTGTTATCCTATAACTCCATCTCGCCCATCCTCTTTGATTCATCTCTTCAGCATAGATGTTACTAGTTCTCTCTCTTCCCTGCTTGGTCTTAAATACTCCCAGTTGAACTCTCACGAATATGCTGATAACTCATTATCTATATTATGTCCTACTCTTTTTATCCTGTTCCTGTTTTACCTTTTTATACTGTTCCTACTCTTTATTTTGTTTTAGTTGATTGTATTAGCATTCAATTTATCAACTGGGAATCCTTAACTCCTTTGTCTCCCCTTCCTTTCTTCATCTAATCAATTACCAAGTCTTGGCACTTTTGTGTTAGAATGATTTCTGGAATTATACCCCTTCCTCTCTAATCTCCCAACCATTGCTCTCAATATCTTTTGTCTAGACTATGGCAACAATCTCCTAACCGGTTTCTTTCCCATTTTCCTTTTTTTGTTCTTACACATCTGTCTTTCTCAGCTTTCAGAGGAGTGTGTTTGAAATGTTTGTTTGGCCAGGTTCTTGCTCAATGTTAAACCCCACATTTTCATAAGACTCTTAGAGAATCAAGTTCAAAGTTTTTAATGTCACTGGGAAGCGGGGTCCTGATGTAGTAAGAGCCAGCCTCTCAATTCTGTGGTCTTCTGTTCTTTGTGTCCTTAATGAAATAATTCAGTCAAGATGCATAGGAGGCCATGCAGAATTACAGGTAGGATTTATTGTAAAGTAGATACAGAGAGTGAGAAAGTGGGCAGTGCCATGATGACATCTATACCAAGTATCAGTTTGGATACATTTTATGGACCCAAAAGTTACTCCTGGGGTTCAGGGAACTAGAGTAATTAGGATGCTTATCAGTATTCCACTTGGATGTTACTCTGGAACTGAAATATATCATCCTGTCCTTTTTAGATGGACGTTGCCTCAGAAGCTTTAATATGTAGGAAATTTAAGGAAGAAATTTACAAAAGATAAATTTTTCATTTAAACCAGTTTCCAGCCCAAGGCAGGAGGGTATTTAATGAACATTTCTTTTTCCTGATATTGGGCTGTAGGCGCTGGCAGCCTGAAATACTGTCTGCCTTGTTGTGGAACTAGATAGCAAGCTGGCCAGGTATCAGAAGGAATGTGCACAACGGGTAACCTTTAAATGTCATTGCACTTGGTGGGATTGCTATAGGTCTGAGACCTAACAAATTACTCTAATTATACCATACATTGACATCTTTGTTTCTTTACTTAACTGGCAAAGCATACTACTTTGGATACCCCCTCCACTTTGTCCCTCAGGCCGGCTAATGTCTGACTACCTAATGCTTAACATGGTAGGTACTTTCCAGTCTGGCCTTTGCTGTTCCTCCCAGGTCTATCCCTTTCCTTTTTTGGCTTATGTTCCAGCAACACTAAAATGTCTGTAGTTGCTCACATAAAATAGGTATATTTTTCTATCTGTGACTCTGCTTACAAGAGTCCCTCCATTTGGAAGGTGGGTATCCACAGGCCAACCTAGTTAATGCCGATCAGGCCTTTCAGATTTGGCTCAGGTCTTCACTGATCCAAGAAGCCTTCCTCTTTAAATGACTTTCTCTTTCTCATCCTTTCTCTCCTTTCATAATGACTGCCCGCTCTGCTTCTGTATCTCTCTCTAGACAGTGAGTTCTTTGGGGGCATGGAGTATATCTTTTTTTGGTGGGTGTTTCCACACCCAAGACAATTTATAACACACAATAGATGCTCAATAAATCTTTCATTGAATAAACGGAACTTGCACTCATTATCTTAACAGAAAATATGTGGAAAGAACTGTTGAGATAAATAGATTCATCTTTTTAGTTCATCCAGTGAATCTGTGTTGTTTGTGCCTACAATACCAATGATTATTATCTATCTAATTTTTATTTATTTATTTATTTATTTATTTATTTATTTATTTGTGGTACTGGGGATTTAAGTCAGGGCCTTGTGCCAGTGAGGCATGTGCTTCACCAATGCCCTATATCCGCAGTCCTTTTTATTTTATTTATATATTTATTTTGGTACCGGAGATTGAACTCGGGACCTTGCGGTTGCAAGGCAGCAGAACCACTGTGTTAAATCCCCAGCCCCTTTATTTTTTTTATTTTGAGACAAGGTCTCAAGAAGTTGCTCAGGCTGGCCTTGAACTTCCCCCCTCTTGCCTCAGCCTCCTGAGTATCTGGGATTATAGTTGTGCACCTTCAGGCCTGGCTCGAATTTTCTGCTTTAATGATTCTAGATGCAGTTCACGATCACTGAAATAGAAATTTCCTGACCTATAAATTGGCAATTGCTTTTGATTATATCTTTATTATATTTAGAGATCACATTTCTCTCATATTATGAACAGTCCAACCAATGCAGGAACAAGCAGTCTTGATTGATTTATAGATTTCCCTTTTGCTTTCTGTTTCCCTCTTTTTGGTTTTTATAGACCCAGAAATCCAGAGATGAAAGGGACTATAATAACTACTCAGCACAGATTCTCATTCTACAGTGGGAGAAATTCAGGCCTGCAGAAATCGTTTGTCTCTACCATACCTCAAGCCTCCAGGCTTCCTTTATAGACAGTCTATTCATTCATTTTATTAAAGATCAGCTAAGTCTAAAAGAATACCTGCATTTTAGCAAACAGGTAAATCTATCAGACAGACTTCTTCATCTATTGTCACAATTATATCTCAGGGCAGCATTAGATGACTTTTGTTTCTTGTTTCTGTGTTTGTTATTATAATGTAATGACCATTCTTACATTTGTAGTCTGTTTGTTAGAATGTCATTTTCATACTGTTTTATGTATTATTATTATTAGTGATTACCTTTCTTCATCCTAGGTGATATTTTCAGATCATCAATTGCTTTATTGTATCAATTGCTTTATTCTTCTGTGTCTATCATTAGCTACAATTTTTCTATTTTATGTCTTTGCAATGCTTTTTACTGTAATTTATCTTATCCTAATGGCCATGTCAACAAAATCCGGCACAGAGTCTTTCATTCATTAGGCACACTCTCCTGTGTGCGATCTTGTAAAAGCAGAAGCAGGCAGACATTATGAAACTATTTTAATTGTTTGCTTTGGGTAATGTTACTGTGCCTTTCATACTTTGTCTCCTACCCTAGGGCTGTTCTTACTGATAGGAGTATTTAGAGTACCTGATTTCTTTTCAAACAGTTTTAAAGTAAATTGATGTTAATTTCTCTCTTTCCTTCTCTGGAGTGATACTCTTAAATACAGATTCAGAATGATAACTCTTTTTTGGCTTTAATGTTCACGTGGTAAGTGTAATGTTGACTAGGTTTCTATTGGATGGTATAAATAAACTTACTAGATTTGATACTGAAAATTTTTTTCTTTTAATCTGGTGACTTAACTTGAAACAAGTGAAAATATTTTTTTCTCTGTGGGTACTTTATTTTATTTTATTTTATTTTGTTATGTAGTTTGCAGAAGCTGAGATATAACATGTTCCTCCTGTAGTTGGTATCCATCCGTAGGCTCTGTCTTGATAGTGGGTCATTTTTTTCCCAAAGGGAATTTGTCCTCTTGCTGCGCTGGATGCGTTAACATGCTTGAATCTCTGTTTGCATATTTCCCTCCACGTCTTGGAAAGGGAGCATTTGCCTGCTTCCTCAGCAGGAAGAAAGTTCTGCAGCAAAGCTTCCTCCCAGCAGGAGCTTTCAGCCTGCTGCTGGGCCTGCTGAGGGAGAGCAGCCAAAGTAGGCCAAGGAGAGCACCCCCTCCTCGCCTCTGTTCCTCTCCCTCACACTCATAATGGGAGCTGGGGAGTATCCTTTCCAGGCTTTACAGACTTATTTGGATCTATTTTTATTTCTCTTTCTTGGTCCCTTAAGGAAACTGAGAGCCAGCACACAGTGTTATAGTGATATCAAACAGCTAAATAGATCACCCTGGAAGAATGAATCATACATCTGCTTCCTTCACAGAAGCCAGATTAGTCATGACTAGTGTTCTGCAACAAAAGGCATTTTCTTATAAAGGTGCTTCAATGGACTCTTTGTTTCCTATGTAGCAATTTTGTTTACTCAGTCTGGTTTTACTTTTGTCTGTTTTTTGGAAAAAAGGATTATTTCAACTCTGAGCACCCCTTTTTATATGAATTTGCTTTTGAATTAAAGTGAATACTCATAATAATTTCCCTGTCTTGCTACACTACTCATCTAGAAATTTGAATCTAAATATAAATAAATGAATTATAATTATGTCCTTAAGTAATATATTGAATAACATGTATAGTTAATTGCAAAAGGAAGCAGCTTGTATCGTTTTAGGGCAGTCAATATATGGTGATGTATATTTCAAAAAGAATTCATTTTTCATCTCCTGTCAACCTTAATCTTCCAGTAGCTCCATTTTTAGAGTTTCTAGAGACTGGAAATCTTTTTAAAGAGCAATATTAACTAGTGCTTTTGTTCTGCCTATGTAGTTTTCTGCTTGTCTAGTGCTGCTCTCTGGTGACCATTTCTTAAATTACATGCCATAGATTTTTCAATTTTAGCCTGAGGGGAATAAATGGAACCAATAATTTAAAAAATATATGCAATACAGTTGGTTTTGTTTATATTCGCTTTTAACTGTCAAATAAAACTTGCAAGCTAGAGAAAATTTCATACTGGATATGAACATTAGACCTGTTTCAGGCTTTCAAGCATGTATCCTTCAAACCAACTATAGGCTAGGTAGGCTTCTTGTTTGGCTGAATAGAGGTAGTAGACACAAATTTAGCCCAAGAAACAAATACTGTCTTTACAACTTCCTTTTTCTTTTAAAAACACCCCCTTCTTTTCTAGGTGCCATCCTTGAGCATTCTCTCTTTCTCTCAGGCTGACGTCAGAATGCCTGTTGGAGTTAACAGACAACACTATTCCTCTGATCTCTGTGTGATGATAGGAAGAGATAGACAAAGGAGAAAGCATATCAGTTTTCTTTGATATTTGATTCTTGTCAGTAAATCCTGGAGCCACATAGACCTTTTTTTTTTTAAACCCATCTGGTAAATGTCTATACCTTGCAGTATACACTGGAGTGAATGATAACTAGTGTTTGGTGACTATGCTGGGAATCAAAATGGAGCCAAAGTCACAGCTGTCTTGGACTTGAGAGAGATTTCTTGTTCAGTGTTAGCATAAAGTAAATATGTGTGTGTGAGAAGGCAGAGGGAAAGTACAGTGGCTGTATCTACTTCATGTGTGACATGCTGTTATATCAGATATAATTTGTTCTCACAGAAGCCTGTTCATGTAGTAGGTATTATTTTTATTTAAAGATAGAGTAACTATAGCTTAGAAAGAATGATTTTGCAAGGCCACAGGTGTAAAGCGAAATCTAAGATGGCCTGACTACGAGGCCTACAATCTTTCTAGAACACCATGAGGTTGTGGTGTAAGACTATAAGGACCAGATGAGAAAAATGGGAGAAGAGACAATGCTGATTGAATTAATTCTGGACCATGTTGCAGGCTTGGTCTGTTGCTTTTCCAGCATCACACTGCTTTGATTCTGATGCAGGGTGGAGGTGGGAAAAGAAAGGACAGTGGAGTGGGGAGGGGAGGGTGCCAATGTACTGATTCTCAGTGTATCTGAGCAATTCCTTAATCTCCTAGGCTGAGTATGGTAATCACCCAACTGATAATTTTTGTCAAAGTTCTTTTGTGTGCAATGAGTACATAAGGTAAAGAGTCTCCACAAGAGAAGAATGTACCAGCTGGGCTATTCTTAGTCCAGTAGGTAAGACTACACACCTAGGGCCAGGGATTTAGCTCAGTGGTTCCGCTGCCTGCCTCACAAGTGGAAGGTCCCGAGTTCGATACCCAGTACCAAAAAACCCCCCCAAAAACCAAAAAAACTATAAGACTACACAGCTATAGGAGTGCCACAGGTCTACTGGAAACTGCTTGCTTACTCTTTTGGTTTTCATAAGAGAGGCAGCATGGACAATTCTGGAAGCACTGGAAGGGCATATTATCCTGACTTTAGAATATGTTCTTCTGCACAGGGAGAGAGGGGAATAGGATGGGAGAAGGGCTTTCACTCTATCTATAAATTCCTTTCCTTTTAAGTACGACAGTGTCTTTTGATCCTTGTGAAATCTGTGTGGTGAGTGTATAAATGTCTGCTAGGGTATTTTCGTAGTTTCTCATTGAAATATTTCATAATTCAAAACATTAAATGGGGCACAGTATAAGGACTGCCCCTTCACAGAAGTCAAGTGACACAGTGTAAGGAATGTCCCTTTCAAGGACTTTCAAGTTTCAAATTGGCTTAGAAATCACACCTCACTTAAACTGAGTAGTACTGAACATTTTTCAGTCAAAAGCAATATGCAGTCTTAAAGTATCCCATGGAATCCAGCTTTCAGCTCTGTACTATTTCATTTATTCTCCTGGCACAAGATTAAAAACTACTACAAAACTAGTTCTCAAATTATTAGTTGAGGTCCATGGAAAGTATTTTTTCCAATACACAGCCAGAAGGAAAACATAAGATTAGATGAAGTTCCAAATATAGTACAACAGTCTTTCATTAAAACCATGAAATTTTGTAAAAAGACTTTCCTAGCACTCTATCGGCTTTTCATGTTCTGAAAACAATGATTTTGGGAAAGGCATTAAGATCAGAACTACAGTGAGCAATTCTACCTTCCTTTCTATAATTTAATGCATATTCGTATGCTTATCTCAACTGATCATAACAACTGCTTTGAGGAGAAACAGAAATAGAAGTAAAGTGATCCACTTAACTACAGGGCTGGTTGGCACTAGAACCATGGCATTTCTCTGGGTCCCATGCACTTTCTAGAGACTCATTCCCACCCTGTCTGTCTATGACAGCCCCTTTGGCCTCCACTCCCGTGACTTCACATGCCTGTTCATGAGACCATGTCCTTTCAGAGCCATCCTTGACACAGATGTCTAGCCTTAGCTCTGTTCCTGTGGCTCCATGCTTGCTGTCTACACAGAGATTTGCTGCCACGTTCCGAATCTGTGGAAAGAAGAAAGAGTGTTGAGCACGGGGCAATTTACACTGCTGTGTCAGTATCACTGGGCAGTCTTGGCACAATTAGGTAATAAACCATTATATTTTTGATTATATTGTTGCAGAATATATTGGCTAAGAGAGGCCAATGGCAATCAGGAGGATTTATTTTAGGTGTTAGGTCAACATCGGCTCAATAGACTCCTGTCCAAAGGAAGAGTGACAAACAAAGAGAAGTTCCAGTTTTATACATTTGGTCAAAGCGGGATGGTGATGTAGCAAGTGAGTTTACTTGAACAGGACAAGAGCACACAGGTTTGTAATTCAGCCTTGTAAGAAGACAGTGTCTTATGAATCACATGAGAACAGGGTGTCATAAACTTTATTTACAGGACATAGTTATCAATTTTATCTATACCAGAACAAGGAGTTACTGCTTCGAGGGAAAGGAGGGTGATCCAAGGGGGTGGGATTGCCCAAAGATGAGAAGAACTTGTTTTTCTTTAAGTACTGCTTCATTATAACTACAATGATGCCTGGAATTTATATGCAATATATGGAGGAAAAGCAGCAAATTAAATAGAATGTAGTCTACATGTGAAAGAACATGAGATGGTCAAACACCAAAACTGCAGCTGGTTGTAACTCATGCAACAGGGCAAGGAACAGAGTTCATGCCTGTTGTAAAATGGGAGATTTTCCTTCTTCAGGTTGTGCTTAACTTGAGATTTATCATCCTGCTTCAAGTTCCTCCTACTGTTACCATCCTAGTGTAGAGAGATCCAATTGGAGGCAGGTGATATAGGTAAAGTGTGTGATGGAGGAGAGTGAATCACTGGGCTGTAATGGCTTGATCTACATTTGTTTGCATAGTTTAGCATTTTTCCTGGATGATAAACTAAATGTTACTCTGCATGGGCGTCCAACCTTTTAGCTTGCTTAGAGCACATTGAGTGAAGAGGAATTGTCTTGGGCTGTATATAAAATGTATAATACAGTTCATGTGTATAACTAACAAATCATACTATAAAATTTTTCTATTATAACATAGGCAGAGCTTGGGGTGAGGGTTGGACACACTTGCTGGAGATTAGCAAAGTAAGAAAGACAATACTATTATTGAAATACTTACTGAATGAAGATTCCCTACAGAAATCCTGAACTTGGAAAAGTTGCAGAGCAAATGAATAGGGCAATTTTTTCCCTTAGATTAGCACTGAAGAGTTACAGGAGGGAAAGGGGTGGACAATGAAAAGTATCAAGGGCAGAAATAGCAACAGAAGCAGAGTCTGGACAGAGACAGGCCATCAGTCATATTTTCCTGCCTGGAGATTTCACCAATGCCTTGTTGGCATCCCCAGTCACAGCCTGTAGTAGAGTTAGATATTGTTTATAGTTTGTTACTAGGTATATGTACTTGATAAACTCTGTCATCTCAATCCTTATTATGTTTTTATATGATCCTGCATTATGATAATCTCTTCAGGTATGTTTAAGGATAGAAACAATAATATGGTGGACAGAACTAATAGTTTTCCTCAAGCTTCTTTTACCTAGAATGAGCAGATAAAGTAGGGAGTCTCCTCACTACAGAATAATACTTATTACTCTTGGACTGGGACAATGAAACAGAGAAAGTTGTGAAAAATGCTGGATGTCATGAAAGTGATAGCTAATGCTGGGTGGGGATGTTGTGGTGGAGGCAGCTAATTCATATTTCATTTATCCTTGGAGGAGAGGTTGGTATAACACATTTGAGGATCAGTGTGGTGGGTACTAGTTTCATGGAATTTGGCAACAAGTTGGGTTCAGCTTCCACTATTGGACTTCTAGTTTCAAGATCCTGTGATAGCCAACCTGACTCCATTTGTGTACCTGATTCCATTTATGTAAAGTCAAGTGATTCCGGGTGGTCACCTTCCCTTTCTCCTTTGGGAGTCCCCTCAGTTAATGCATAACAGACCACCACATCCTGTGTGGGTCTGCAACTATATGTTATCTTTGTGACCTTTTGGTAGAGCAATCTGCAACTATGTTGTGTTTACTACCTTGTAAACAGAAGACCCACACCTGTGTGATACTTTATTTTAACGAAACTGTGTGAAACTTCCCCTGACCCCCACTAACTTGGCAAAGTTTTATCCCTGTGAAACTCTGCTTTGTATTCCTCCTCTCCCTGTGCCCTCCTCAAATAGAAGAGCCCTTGAAAGGTCCCTGCAAACTGCCTTTCCTTTGTCCAGGGTCTTTTTGGCATGTGTCACTCTGGATCACCCAGCTTGTAATAAAGGACTCAATTTAATTCAGAGCGTGGCACATCTCTATAGTTCCAACTTGCCTGGGCCTATTACAGTCTCTGTCTCTAATGTCAGATGAATGTGAAATAATGCAGAATATAGGGCAACAATTCTTAACCTGGTCTTGCCTATAGACTTCTCTGATGATCTAAGGAAAGCTATGGACATTTTCGCAAAAATAAGCAAACAAACAAAATCGCAGGTGGATACATATAAGAACTTTTGTTTTCACTATTCTGGAACTCATCAACTTCAGATTTGAACCCTGAATTAGGGCAAAATTTTGTCTCTTACCACTTGTAACTGATTGCCTCTCAGTTCTTATTATAATGGGAGATCATGAAACATAGGGAATGAGTTTAAGTGGTCACAGGAATGCACCTAATTCACCACTGACTTATTTTACCTTTTCTCCATTTTCCCTAAAACATGTACCAGGGAGGAAAATTTGAGATTTTGGAAGACAAACTAAAAATACTCTTTTTGTGGGGCTGTGGATGTAATGCAGTGACGGAATGCCTGCTTATCACGTGCAATGTCCTGGGTTCAATCTCCAACACTGCCAAAACCAAACAAAGAACCTCTTGTAAAACCAATTTCTTAATGTGTGATTATGTTTCTCTAGTGAAATAGCAACACCAAGGATGTTAAAGTTGGATTTTGCTATTGCTGCCTTCAGCCTAGCCCATTCTGTAAAAATTGAAAGTTATTTCCTTATCTGAGTGCTGTGTGATAGTTTTCTGAAACTATCTGTGACCTTAAACCACCTGACAGAACTCTGGGCAGGCCTCTCTTTTCATTCCTCTTACCTTACAGACACACTCTTCTTAGAGAACCAGTTATTAATTTATATATCTAAGACATTTTCAGTTCTGAACCATATGTCCAGGGCTTGGGTTGAGGGCAGCTGCTTGTAGGTTCATGATTGCTTGGCTACAGTGGGAGAAATTGATCTTTGTACATGAGCTGGTGTTTGAGCTTACCCACTGGAGGCGCTTTTTTCTCTTGGAAAAGAACATGGAGAAGCCAGAGACAGTGAGTTGCAAATCTGCCAAATGTGCCTGTGGCTAAACACCAAGCCAATTGGAGATCCTCATCTTGTTTTTAAATGTTCTGGGCTCGAAAGGGCTCTGGCAGGGAGGATACCATTTTCTAAAGTCTTGAATTTTCTAAATTCTCACTGAAATGGCATCTGTGTAGACAATGAGATAAACTGCATTGGAAGCCAAATTTCAAGTTTCAAAGGCATAATTGCCTACATCTGTGTAAATTCCAGCACAAGGTTGTGCCAGAGAGGAAATGCTGAGAGTTCAGTACAGGATAAGGTGGGCAGCTGGGTATGAGATTAATATCTGGCCACTATCACTCTCCTCTCTCTCCCTTATCTTTCTATCACAGTCTCTTCAGCACATATTAATACTCTTGGTTTTCTCATAAGAGCAACTTCATCGAGAGAAACAGGTGAATAAAATTCCAATAGAACCAATGTTATAAATTGTTCATTCATTGAATAAAGTTTTTAAAAATTGTAGAAAAAAATACTTACAAATTTATATCATACAACATGGGTTCATGACCCATGGCTGAAGGTAAAGAGTTCACACACATATGTGGGGCCCATATCTAGGACATAGACTGCTGAATAAAGTCATGACAGAAAAAAATAACTTTCAGCCTCATTCCTTTGATGTCCAGCTTCAGGGCTTGACATCATTAAAACTGTGTTGCAGAATCCTGAGAAAGGCTGATGAGGATTAGAGTTTGACTAGGGGAATGGGTGGGAGAAGAAGAAAATGAGGGAAAAGAGAATTATTATGTATGACAAGATTATAGGGATAAACTCCTTGAGGGCAAGGATTACGGAGAGGTCTGGCAGGGAGCAAAGGCTTTCTTCAGGTATTCCAGAGGAGTCAGGCTCAGTTTTAACATTGTTTTATTTCTCCCAGCACATAAGCGTTTTATAAAAAAAAATAATAAGAGAAAGGGGGTGTGAAACAAAGTCAAATGGCTAGTAGATGTGGCATGGGTCATTTAGTTGGCTTAAGTGAGCAATGGCCTCAGTTCAACAAATGAGAGTGCATGGTTGGTTAATTCCCTCTGATTGCCAAGTCTTTAAAGTGAAGTGCTGCGTTCATTACTCACACAAGAAATATTTATGAAGTTCCTGCTATGTCAAGGGCCTGTGCTAGATACTGGGTATAGGATGGGGAATTAGAAAGAATCAGTGTCCTCTTTTGTGCAGTTGATGGTCTGGTCAGGACCTTTGAGAGACTGGAGATTTTCAATATTTCTGGCTGTGAGTTTTTAATGTGGCAGAATGAATCACAGTGTTCGTCTTCATGGAGTGTGGATGATTTTAGAAGGCAAATTTGTTCTAAAAGCTAGAAAAACATTAATGTAGGGTTAAGAGAGAACTGCCTGGAGACTTGGGAGGTCTTCGTTCTGCTCACCAGGCACAAATGAGTTTCCCTATAGCCTTAGCCATATACCCCCTTTCAAAGCTCAGTTGGTCTGCTTATCAAAAGTCCGCATTCCAGGAGTACTGCTAAAGAAAAGGAACATCTAGAAGGATGGGTAGAAATTTAAAGACCAAGATCTCAAGGTCAAACCCCACCTAACAGCGTAATGAATCCTTGTCTCAAAATAAAAAAGGAGTAGGGTTGTAACTTCATGTCCAGCATCCCGAGGCTCAACCTCTAGTACCCCAAAGCA